ATAATGTTATGTAAATAAATAAAAGGATTAGGATTGATTTATTTGCATGATAAAAATCATCTTTGATAAGGCTTAAATAAAATAACACATAATTAATTTGGTAATAATTTTAGCCGTAATTGGGTGTTAAAACTTTTCCTACATATAACCGATTCTTAAACTTAGTTCTATGAAAGTAGATCAGAACCTTTTTTTTTTTTTTTGACCCTTAATTTAGACTTAGGGCAACTTAAAAAGGATGGATTCATTTAGGTGGTCAATCACATTTACGTAAAAAAAGATTGATGGTGACTCCATATTTTTGTGTTTAGTGCTTAGATTCCCCAACTTATAATAATAATAATAGGTTCGAATTGGGTTAGGTTAAAGCACGAGATTCTTTTCTCCATAACAACGTTATTTGCTTGGATATCAAAATCAATAAGCAACTCCAACTTTACTATTCACTATTTCAGCACCCTTTAAAAGCTAAAAATTAAAATCATCTTCTTTTTTTCTCGCTTTTGTTTCTCTCATTAAAATATAAAAACTCTAATTTCTCTTTAAGTCAAATCAACTATCCTCATAAATTTAGAAACTAATAGCTTTATGTCGTTGTCACTGCAATTGGCTATCAAGCATTGGTACCAATTCTGACCTAAAACTCACGAAAAGATTCCTCTTTTCCTCATTTTTTCATTTATCTAATTGGATTTTTGGGAAAATATCCTTTAAACGCCTAGATCTTTACTTAAAGTCATGAACTTTCTCCCCAAAAATTTTTATCATTGCTGCTCTAAACAACCTTGACTTTTAGTATGTTATTTTCTTCTCTATAGCCTTCTTACTCGTCTTAAAACCCATTAAAGCAAGTCTAAGTTGAAACCCTAAAAAACCTTATTTTCTTTCTCTTATGTTTTTTGTTTTTTTCTTTCTTTGTGTTGCTTTCCCCAAATGGAATGATGTTGGTAGGTAGGTTTTTTTGTTTTGATTTTTGTTTTCTATTTTTTTCTTTTATGTGTGTTTTTTTTTTTTTTTGTATTTTTTATAGTGGTTGTTTGGTGGAGTTTTTTTTTTTTTTGTGTTTTCAAAATAAGTTGATGATGGTTTTACCTGCATTTGTGGTAGCACTAGGTTGGCGAAGGTTTTTTTTTTATCTTTCATCCATTCTCTTTTATTATGTGTTTATGATATTGTATATTTTACATGTGACTATTGTCAATTCTGGCTAAGTTGGTTATTATTTATAAAGATATAGTGCTAAAAAATTCTAAGTTTTATTAAAAAAAAGGTAATTTGAGAACAAATCTAATTTCTAATCCCTTCGCATTGATTGATTTATTTTTCCAATTATCTTTCTTTTTTATATTTTATATTTTATATTTTAAAGATTTTTCAAAATCCTTTTTTTCTTATTTTTTATTTTTATTGTAACTTTTAAATAAAAAACACATAAAATAAAAAAAAATAAAAAATAAAAATTAATGTATGTCTGGCCAAATTCTAGTTTAAAAGCCCAATTTGTAGTTTGAACTTCAAATCTAAATATTGAACTCTGATTCAATTTAAATAAAATTTATTATGAACTTGAAGGTCAAATTCAGTCTAATACTCTAATTCATGATTTAAATTGAATAACTTCATATGACTCATAACAAAATAGAATGTTTACAATATATGCATTACCAAGCCTAATTTTAAAATAACTAAAACTTTTATGCTAAGTAGAACTTAAAAGAAAATATTTAAGACTCTTAATAAAAAAACTAATAAATGTAACTTATAAACAAAGCCTAAAGGATAAAGAAAACAACACTTAAATACTAAACCTAACATAAATGTAAAATGTTTAATAGAACATTATATCTGTAAAATATTACAATTAACCTCATAAATACAATAAAAGTAACAAAATAAAACTTTATGTAAGCTAATCCCATACCTATATTATTTGTATTATGCATCATTCTCCCTTTGGTGGAGAAAACTAGGACTTGAGTTTTAAAGTGTTGTAAAAGAAATTTGCTTAAAATCCATGAATGGCATTATCAACAATGAATTTCTTTTAGAGCAAAAATATTTTCAACAAAATTACTTGTATGTTTATTTTTAATACACTGAGAATATTGAAATTAATAGGGAGTTTTTCAAAAATAGTCATACTAAATTTTGAAAAATAAAATCCATGAAATATTCACTAGAAAACTCTTTAATAAACTATTTATTTGCCAAGATCATCAAAATTTTAATTTTTGAAATTTTAAGTTTAATCTGTCTAATCTGAACATCTTTAGTTTCAAAAGTTAGTTGTAATTGTAGTTTTTCAAGTGAAGGATTATGTTGCATGTTCTCCTAAACACTTGATTTTACAATGACATCATCTTTTTTTCTTAAAATTTGTTAATGACCGTCGAAACTATTTCTTAAGTTCCATGACCTTTTTGAATTTACTCTAAAATACACTTTATCATTGTTAATTTTATCTTCACACTTAATTTCAATTTGAAACTTATTTTTCAACGTTAATGTATGCCCTAGTACTAATCAGATTGGGTAGAGATATAATATCATCAATGCATAATTATCACTTGTTACCTATGTGATAAAAAGTTTTCCTTCATCAATTAGTACAAGAATAAAAGTTTATTAAGTACTAATAGGATGAAGCTTATGGGATATAATGGCCTTACAAAAGAATTATAAAGAGTTATAGTTATGAGATCCTTATGTATCAAAGTTGTATACCTAAAACTGTTCCTAATCATTATATTGTTTAAATAGGGCATCAATAATGCTAAAAAATTATTAAATGTTAAGTCACCTTATTTGTAAAGTAGGTAGTTAATTTCATAGGTTAAAGCATTTGGATACTTAAAAATAACATTTTGGTACTTATTGGACGCACAAATTCATTGAATGTGTCTCATTATAAGAATTTCATTTAGTATTTCACTCAAGTGTCATGAAAATGTTCTCATATGTCAGTTGTGTAAATAGTCCAATTTGTGTCACCATATGACCTTTTATTTAAATGATCATACTTTGATTTCACTTTTATGGGTTAAGACATTTAATAACTAAAAGGATGCTTTTAAGTATAGTTTAAAGCATGCGAAAATAGATGAGTGGTCTAGAGAAGATTCATCACCCCAAGTGATATGAAGGAACATATCTCATTTATTCTTAGTTTTAATTAATTTAATAAAGTCTTTGACCGAAGTATAATGATGAATTTAAAAGAAGTAGTTTTATGCTAAAATCATGTATATTGATTAGAAGTTGCAATAACTAACATGAAAAGATATGGGTATACACTACATCATACCCATGGTTTTTTCAAAATAATGATGAAAAGACCAAATTGCACCAATAAACTAAACACTAAAGGCAAATTTAAGACTATCTTGACTCTTCAATATTTGGTAGTTATGATACATTACTAGATGTCACATGATTTATGAATATAAATTGATTATCTTTACTAATTAGATTTATATCCATTGCCAACATATTAGAAGTCTAAATGGTCACACATATAAAATGACATTATTGAAATTAAATTGGGATTTTCGATTAGGTAGGACTTGATTGATAGAAGTTGAAAATAAGAGGAAGCAAAATTAAAATCTTTAAGGACTTAATTAGAAAATGTGTAAAAGTTACATTTAATTGTGCTAGGGTCAAAAAGTAAGAAAGGCTTATAAATATCCTTTTATGCTACTAGCCACACTTTACGTTTAAGTTACAAGGCTATTGAAAAATACAAAGATATAAAACACAAAAGATGACTTGCTATAAAGACTAATTTCTCAGTAGTTTTCCTCACTTCGTCTTTCACCAAAAAATTTTATTTTCTTCTTCCTCTTTAATACCTTAAGGTATTCACCTAAAATAGGGATAGATTTTTCTTGGTTTAATAAACTATAATACTTATTAGCACGAGTTTAGAATCTCACTTTGGTAAAAATTTTAGTAAAGGTTATTATATGGATCATTATTGAAGGCTAAGTATTGGATGCCTTAAGTTTTGATTTCCTTTGGTGTTCTGAGACAACCAATGGCTATTTTAACTTTAGATTATGATATCTAAGAGTTTTGGTATGATTCTTAACACATGTGTACTTATTTTGTTTTAAATCACAAGTAGAAATGTAAGTTTGATCTTTAAGGTATTAGACTATTGCTTGTTTGTTTATTCTGCTACACTCTTAATACATATGATTATAATTTGACAATTGTTATCTATGCATGTGGCCGAATATTCCTACATCAACAAGTTAAAAGAGCAAGATTAAAACTAAAAAGTCAAATTTTCTTATATTTCTTATTTTTTTATGCATATGCTATTTTAGTAATTTTCTATTGATTTCATCCCTCAACCTAACCTTAGATTGTGTTGATTTTAGATCAACACAATTTACAAATTTGACTTCCAATCATAAACTCATCAGATCTTTACATATACTCTATTATCAACATGCTTACTTGCTTAAAAATAAAAGCCTTATCTCGCTTCTTGTCAAGCTGATTAAATGACAAATATTTTTCTTTAAATTTGGCTTTCATCTTATTTAATGTATTGATTTGTGGCTATCTCGACTTAATTATGTTTCTTTCAACACCATACTATCATATCTTTTCCAACCTAACAAGTTTCATATTTACCAATTAAATTCTTCAAGCATCGGACATGTCATACAAATCAAAGTACTCCTTGATTGAGTTGAGCCTATAAAAAATATTATAGTGGAATAACATTTCTTTTGAAAATTTGAAATTTCTATCTTTATTTTTTAGGTATATTTCTAGCCATACCTTTTATTTTCTTACATTCTTCTTTCAACAACTTGTCAACCTAGTGTAACTCCATTGGTTTACCTTTTAAAAAAGGGTTTCATAACTTGTTACCATAAAAATTTGTTTGTCTTAGATGTAGAATATTTCTAACATCTTTTCAAACTTGGAAATCTTGTTTCTAGAGTTTTTAACTTTTCTAAGATCTTTTTTCATTTAGCCATATTTTTCATTATTTGTTAGGTTTTCTTAATATTTTATAGATGATCTCTATCTTTAAAAGCTACAAAAGCTTCCATAAACCAAACTCGCACCTCCAAGCCATCCTAAATAGTTCCTTTTTCAAAACCTTAAAATAAATTCTTCTTCATCAAGTTTATATAGATTAGCAAAAGCTTATGCTAATCAATACACCTTTGGCCACACAAACCTTTGCTTTTTTTTTTTTTATATGATCATTTATGCATCCAATCTTAATCTAGTCTCCAAATATCTAGTAACTTTTTCTATTTATTTGAAGATTGCTTCTTATTTTTAAGCAAGTTGAAGCTTGGTAGAAATCTGCATTTCATCATCTTGATTTTACCTCAAACTCTTGGTGATCTATTGAACCTACTAGCATGTTCAATTAAGTATTTCCTACCTCTTATGTTTTTCAAATATTAAGCATTTGACATAACTTATTTATGATCATTCATCATGTAGGCTTAAGTATGCATGATGCTTTATTTAAATTAAAGATATAAATCAACATGTAGTTTTATCTATAGGTTTGCATTAAACATGTAAATATGTTAGGATTTATTTTTGAGTTTATTATGACCGATTGTATGATTTGTTTGTTTCTGTTTTAAGCATGCTATGTTGAAAGCATGATTAGGGTTTGATTCAAGCATGTTTCATGTTATGGAGGCAATTAATAACTTAATCCATCAAATTGCATAAAAAACAATAAAATTTAACATTAAACTTGATACATTAAAATTTAGGGTGAGGGAACCAGGATAAATTTCTGTGCATAGCCCGGCTCAAATCGGGCCTCAACCACGGGTGTGACGGGCGACGGGATCCATAAACAGGTTTAAGCAGCAGCGACTTGCTCGACCTTGCTTACTACAGTGTCCACACTTACTCCATTTCTAATCCCAGGGTTTATACCGTATACTCCATTTCCTCTCCCATGACGTTTCTCTCATGAAAATGAAACACTTGAAGGTTTCCCTTATTTTCCTCATATTTTTGGCTTCCCAAACAGTCCACTCCTGGAAAAAAGACGAGTTTCGAAACTGCAACCAGACCCCTTTCTGCAAGCGAGCTCGATCACGCAAACCCGGGGCCTGCACTCTAATAGCCCACGATGTCTCCATCTCCGATGGTGACCTCACTGCCAAGCTCATCCCCAGAGCTCCACATGATCAAGATCAAATCAAGCCGTTGACTCTCTCTCTTTCAGCCTACCAAGATGGGATCATGCGGCTCAAGATCGACGAAGATCCCTCGTTGGACCCCTCCAAGAAACGGTTCCAAGTCCCCGATGTTGTTATCCCTGAATTCGAGACCAAAAAGCTTTGGTTACAGAGCGCTTCGACGGAGAAAATCAACGGCGATGATGGGAGTTTGTCTTCCGTGGTCTACTTATCGGACGGCTATGAGGCGGTTCTCAGGCACGATCCATTTGAGGTTTACGTTAGGGATAAAGCAGGTAAGCGACGCGTAATTTCATTGAATTCACATGGGTTATTTGATTTCGAACAATTGAGAGTGAAAAAGGGGGATGAGGATTGGGAAGAAAGGTTTAGAGGGCATACTGATACGAGGCCATATGGTCCACAGTCTATTAGTTTCGATGTTTCGTTTTATGGGTCTGATTTTGTCTATGGAATACCGGAACATGCAACTAGTTTTGCTCTTAAACCCACTAGAGGACCTGGAGTTGAGGAATCTGAGCCATATAGATTGTTTAACTTGGATGTTTTTGAGTATGTTCACGATTCACCTTTTGGGATTTATGGTTCTATTCCGTTCATGGTATCACATGGGAAATCCGGAAAAAGTTCTGGGTTTTTCTGGTTGAATGCTGCAGAGATGCAGATTGATGTATTGGCGAATGGTTGGGATGCGGAAGATGGGATTTTGATGCCCACCAAGCAGGGTCGCATTGATACCTTTTGGATGAGTGAGGCAGGGATTGTGGATACGTTCTTTTTTGTTGGACTGGGACCAAAGGATGTTGTTAAGCAATACATGAGTGTGACAGGTCTCCCAGCAATGCCGCAGCTGTTTGCCACGGCATATCATCAGTGTCGGTGGAATTACCGGGATGAAGAGGATGTAGAGAATGTGGATTCCAAGTTTGATGAGCATGATATTCCATATGATGTTTTGTGGCTTGATATTGACCATACTGATGGAAGGAGGTATTTCACATGGGACAAGTTGCTGTTCCCACATCCAGATGAGATGCAAAGGAAGCTGGCGGCCAAAGGTAGGCATATGGTAACAATTGTAGATCCACATATCAAGCGGGATAACTCATTTCACTTGCACAAGGATGCTACGCGGAGGGGGTATTATGTTAAGGATGCAACTGGCAAGGATTATGATGGTTGGTGTTGGCCAGGTTCCTCCTCGTATCCAGATATGTTGAACCCTGAGATTAGGTCATGGTGGGGTGAGAAGTTTTCTTATGAGAATTATATTGGTTCAACTCCTTCATTGTACATTTGGAATGACATGAATGAGCCTTCTGTGTTTAATGGACCAGAGGTATGTCACTTTTTGTTAGCGCTGTCTAAGTTTTATCTATTCACGATGTTTATTGTTCTTGTTATTTTCTTATCCTATTTTTCTGTCATTCAATTATACACACTAGCTCATTGCTTCCCACCTATGTAAATGAAGTGGAAGAAGAGGAGAGGAGAGTTAATGTAATTAAGATTTAATGAAAAAATGGAGAGAGAGGAGTAAAAGTAATGGAGAGAAAAAAGAGGAAGAGATTAGTAGAGGAACTAAATCACAAAGTTATTTATAAGAATGATAAAATTACAATAATGACCTTTAGAGATTAAAATTTTATAGGATTTTGGTATTTGATTGTCTACAATTATATTGGATATATTTGTGACAAAAGTCAGCCCACAGTGTTCACTTATTTAATTGTGTGATACTGTTTGTGGCAAAATTTAGTCCACAGTGTTTGCTTATTTAATTGTGAAGGAACTTCAAATGTCAGTGCACGATTCACATATGAAGGTTTTTGTTTTCACAATAATTCATACAATAAAATTGCCTAAAATGGGTAATCATTGGTCTGCTAAGAGACTGTGCAATTAGAGCTGGAATGAGCTTAATATACATGTATATGCTCTAGCATGAATGTCAAATGGACTTAGGTTCTGGCCTTCTACAGGTTGATGTACTACAAAGAGTAATCGATTGGTTGTATTTGTCTTCATTGGGTAAGATGCCATCTTGCTTTTATTTACTGCATTAGGCAAAAATGAAAGGACCTTATCTACTTGGAATGGAACAATGAATGTAATTACAACTTTCTATGGGAGAAACCTTGTGTACATTCATGGATTCTTTGGTCATTGTTCTGGTTATTGGGAAAATTTCCTTGTATAAGCATAATATGCACTTGTATAGCTGCTGTTTTCTCTTCTATAAAAGATTTGATTTTTTTTTTCCCTCAAGTGGAGTTTTTCACTTTTTCTTTTTCCATGCAGCCACTGACTTTTGGTTTGGTTAGGGCTACTTCTAATCTGTTGCTTGACATGATATTGGTGTTTGCATAAATGATAAAATAGATTAGAATGGGGTTATAGCAGGCATATTCTTTGTAGTTAAATGTGCTTAATATATCTGATTTTCTAACAAATATTATCTTGAGTTAGCAATGATAGTTCTCAAAGTTGGGTGTTTAAGTTTGAAGATATTAACATGTGGTACATGTTATGTAAAAGCAATTCTTTAATGTGCTTGTTCTTTAGTTAATAATTGTACTTCTCTCTAATATTGTTTATAAGGTTTGCAATGGATAGGAATGTATGCTTTTTATACGTTTTTCAACTGTTGTTTGGATAAGTAAAGACATGATTGGCCATTGATTATAAAAGTTCTAGATTTTCTAAATTAAGTACAGTAAAATGTTTCCTTTATCTGAGAGTTCCTCTATTCACCCAATGTTGGAAGGCAAAAGCGTGCTTATAATCGTGCTAAATTTGTTACTAATAACCTGAAAACTGCATTCCATGAAGATGGAGATGAAGTTCTTTCTGAGTATTATTTTATTTTTGGTGGCTATACATAAAAAATTGTGGAATTTCTTTAGGAATTTTTAAAAAATATTTGTTCTTATTTATAGATGTGTGTGTGTGAACACATAAAAAGCTGCAGACGGGCTGTCAAAACAGCACAAATTGACTAAACTTTTGGGCTGCTAGGTGACAATGCCCAGAGACGCTTTACATCTTGGGGGAGTAGAACACCGGGAGTTACATAATGCCTATGGTTATTACTTCCACATGGCAACAGCTGACGGTCTTGTAAAGCGTGGAGATGGTGAAGACAGACCTTTTGTTTTATCCAGAGCATTCTTTGCTGGAAGTCAAAGACATGGAGCAGTCTGGACTGGCGATAATTCGGCAGATTGGGATCACCTCAGGGTTTCAGTCCCTATGATTTTGACACTTGGTCTTACTGGAATGTCATTTTCTGGTATGCATGCCATTTATTTTTTTAAAGGAAAAAATTTTAAAACAGTCCACTTTTCCCTCTCTTGATGCTAGATAAAATTTCCTAGGTGCTGATGTTGGTGGATATTTTGGCAATCCTGAGCCTGAGCTATTAGTCCGTTGGTATCAACTTGGTGCTTACTATCCTTTCTTTAGAGGGCATGCCCATCAAGACACGAGAAGACGAGAGCCTTGGTTGTTTGGGTATGATATTTTTAACATCCATGTAATTCTACTTGCATCTTGATGGTTAGCATTCACATTTAGCACATTCATTTATATAAATATTCCTAACATGTATTATCACAAATGCTTTTTAAGCTCTTTTCTTCACTAAAGCTAATTTATTTCTCTTAGGAACATTGTTCTGTTTACTTTTTTCATCTGTATCTCATCCCTTTCAACTTAAAAGAGTTTCTGAAATGGTTAAAATTTTCTTATATTTAGTGCATTGAAAAGTAAGCTCTACTTGTTTTTCACTGTTTTTGTGCCTGTTAATTGAATCTCAAGAAAGAGCATCTGAATCGAATTCTGGTTAGCAGAAGTACATGTGTATTTAGGGGGCCATGACCCCTGTGACTTTGTGTTATGGAATGGAAACTGCTTTAAGATGTGTTTAAAGATCTTCTTGGGCTTGGGAACACTTTAATAAGCTTAACTGTCATTTCTTCAGTGTATCATGCAGGTTGAAAATATGTACTTATTTAGATATAGTTGCTGCTTCATCTACTGAAATTTTGGTTTACCGTTGCCAATCAGCATGCTATTTCTTCACCTGTAAACTTGTGGTTGTATAAGCTGCAAGTGTAATCAGGTGTGATGTTGTCATGGAAAGGTTTAAGAAAAAGCTTGATATTATTATCATACAATATCATTACATTTTCATTATGTATTTACTTTTGTGATCTGTAAAAGTAATGGGTTTTATGTTATTTCAGTGAACGAAATAGAGAACTGATGAGAGATGCCATACGTGTTCGTTACACGTTACTTCCATACTTTTACACATTGTTCAGAGAGGCAAATGTTAGTGGTGTTCCTGTTTTACGTCCATTATGGATGGAGTTCCCATTTGATGAAGCAGCTTTCAGCAATGATGAAGCTTTCATGCTTGGGAACAGTCTTTTAGTACAGGGAGTCTATAGTGAGGTACTGCTGTTAACTGGCTCTTTAACCTTCTATCTTTTCTGTTTCTTCCTTTTCCCTGTTGCTTTTCTTATCCTGTGAATAACTGAATTCTCATGTATTTTCTCTTAATGTAGAGGGCTAAACATGCATTTGTATATTTGCCTGCGAAGGAATCCTGGTATGACCTTAGAACAGGAACAGCATATACGGGGGGAGAGATCCATAAGCTTGAAGTTTCAGAAGAGAGCATTCCTGCTTTCCAAAGAGCTGGCACTATTGTTCCAAGAAAAGACCGGTTCCGTAGAAGCTCCACACAAATGGTGCTTGATCCTTATACACTGGTATGCAATTGATATTTGGACCCTTCTAGTCTTCTCATAAATATTTCTTATACTTCGTGTAAAATAGGCAGGGGGGGATTCAAATGGTGAATTAGGGTGTACATGGACACCTACCAAAGATTAAAAACAAGAAAGTTTGAAGGAAAATTTCCCCTGGACACAAAAAATTTCACCTGGATGCCCCATCTGTCGATTAAGTTAGTATATTCATCGTAAGTATATATATTACAACTTAACAGCCCCAGAAAAAAATCTTGGATCCACCACTGAAAATAGTGCCTGGTATTCTTTAAATATTATTATTTTCACTGATTTGTATTTTCTAGCACGATTGGGCTGCTCTGGTGGCACACTGTTCTCTTGGTGTGTGTCTAGTCTCTAAGGCACAGCGCAAATCAACTAAAGCACTTAGGCACACCTTCTGTGAGGTGACTTTATTTAGTGTTCACCTTCTTGACCTAGGTGTGCTTTAGGTGAGCAAAAGATGCTCAGAAAGCATGCTTGGCTTGGAGTTCTTGGTTTTTTTTAGGTTTTTTGTTCCTTTTACTAGTTGTATTTCTATAATATAAAAGAAAAACCTATGATCAACTCTTTTTATAAGAATAATCAAATGGGTAATCAAGTTCATGCACAACTTTTTCTTGAAGATGGAATTGAAGGAAACATTGAGCTAGTGTCAGACAATGACGTTTTACTAAATTATGATATTACATTATCTTCAGAAGACATCAAATAATAAGAGGAGCAAGCTCTGTAATGTTTATTAACAAAATTAAAGGTAAATTACACAAAAGACTCTGTGGTTAAGCTTGAAAAGAGCTTGCCCCTTGTGTTTTAAGTTTACATTTAACTAACTTAAGCTTTAATTATGTTAAAAGCTTATTAACATCATTATCTTTTGGCATATATTTTTAAATAAAATAAATTTATATTAAAAAATTGAAATAAACCTAAAAAGGGAGCTTGAAACCCAAAACTTGACCAAACCATGGTAGGAAAAAAGATCCTCTATGCATCAAAGGCATTATTCATAGTGAACTTTGCAGAGATGAATGACGTTTTTCTCTTACTAAACTTTGAAAACAAATTAAATTTCCACTTGCTTCAAAAAGCTCATATTAGAAGAGATATAGAAAGCTGAAAGTTAAAAAAAAAAAAAAAAGAACAATAACAACTAAAACATTCAAAAATAAGTTTTGCTATGCACTGCTTTCACAATCTGCCACCTATAAAATCTACACAAAAGATTACAATCTTCTTGGTGAAATCCCATAATTGTTGTACCCATGGCCACTGTTATACAACTAAAGTCTCCATATATTTTAACTACAATGTATAAAAATAAATAAATAAATAAATAACAAACCACAAGAATCTTCGCTTGCCATTTGCCAAAGAAAAATGAGAAATTAAAGATTTTTGGAAGAGTTTAGAGATTTTTACACAAGTAAATTAGCGTATAGAGAAGAAATTGAAAAACGAGTGAAAGAGGAAAATAAAGCAGAAGGAAAGATCACTGGGTAACAATAAAATCTAGCAGTTTAATTTGGTATAGCAAAAGTGAGAATAAAGATTAATCACAATGGAGCAATTAAAATCCAAGGTTTTGGTATTCTGAGAAAGAGAAAAGAATAAATCCAAAACCGTAATTGCAAAAAGGAAAGAAGAACCAACTAGGGCCATTAAAAGCTTGGCCGCCAGTGTCACATACAATTGTGCTTCCTTCTGAGATTGGTTTCTGTTTTCTGACTTCTTGCTTTGGTTTGTGTTCTTTGATTTCTTGCTTTGGTATTGAAAAAAAAGAAAAAAAGAGGATTAGTACAAGAAACAAAAATAAACTAAAAGGGGGAAGATGAACACAGTAGAAGAAAGTGTAAACAAGATAACACTGTTAGGTGATAAGTTAATGGAGTAAAACACAGTGTTGTTAATTGTCACTTTTTAAAGCTCGGTATTAAATTAATTTTCCCTCAAATTAGAAGGTGCTTATTCTTAATTTACCCCAACATTAAATATGTTAAGATAATTAAATATTTGTATAATATATAGAATATTAATGTCAGCATAAATGGTCCATGCATTTCATTAATATGATAGTTATGGGTAGGTTTTAGCATCATATATGCTGATATCGTTATTTTAATGACATGTAGCAATTTTAATTCATTTGTTTACAGTTTATATGGTTGAAATGATATGTAATAATTCCTCAACACATCCATGTATGTGGCAGTGTCTAAATAATACTGAACTTTATCAAAGAGAAAAAAGAGAAAAAAAAAAAAAGAAACTGAATGGTACTAAAGTAGGTAATTGAGATGAGAGATTATTTTGTTTTGAAATAGTGAAGTTGTTCTTATCTAGAGAGATAATTTTGTTTTGAAATAAAGATAATTAAGTCTTATTTTCTCAGCCTTGATTCCAACTTCCAAGAGGGCCAAGTATTATTTATAATTGTGTATTGATCCCATCAGCTTGCTTAATGGTCCATTTATTTTGTTAATATATCTTCATACTCCTTAATATACTAAATGGATCACATATTTGGCATTTTTACATTCAGTTTAGTGGGGGCAAAAAGCAATGTATGCTTAAACTTTTGGTATTTGGATTTCAGTGAGGGCAGCTGCCCCCAATGCCCCCACTTTAAGTTTGTCCGTGTTTTTATCTAATAGCGATACACAGGCATTGTCTATCACCCTCTGTAATCCTTACTTTTCTCTATATTGCAATTACCATCCATTTAAAATTCATTTTTTGTGATAAGAAAGCCTTTCTTTTTTTTCATTTTACACCTTTTTTAAAGTTTAGTGCGACAAGAGTGTACAAGCCAAGGCCATTTTTGTAGCGTTGAGTTGGTGAGAGACTAATTTGGACAATCCCATCCTATATACTAATAAGAATTTTTTTTAATGGCTGAATAGTTAAGGTTGATTTTCAGCTGTCTAAATTAGAAACCACTTTATTTATTTAACAGAGTTTAGCTCAATATGGAATGTTTTCAAAGTAACATGAAGGAGCATCATAAACCATGTTCAGTGTTTGTCCATGCAGTATTTTACTAATTGAACAATCAGCCAATATGTCCTGGTTTCAAATTTGTTAAATGCCTTCATGGCTGTGTGTGCAGGAAGATATTTAATGCATGCATTTTTGCAAACCTCATTTTGTGGGAACTTATGGACTGTTTTAGCATTGTCAACAGTTATGTTAATGCCTATTACTGATCATCATGAAGAGTTCTTATAACCAAGAAAACTCAGTACCAAAGTGGATGATAAATCTGCAAATAGATTACAGCAGTTTGGAAAGTAGTGATGTTATAATGTTAAGAAAAGAATAAAATACTTGTTTGCTCAGAATTTGTTAGTGCTTCTCAAAATTGCCTTCCTTGGACATTTTTAATAAGTTATTGCTTCTAGCTTTCCTTAATCAGGATGGTATTGGTTAGTAAGTGTGACTGGTTAAATCCAGCAAAATATGGGACGGACCACATTATAACTTGCAGCAAATTTCCTTTTTATCAGAACACATTTCATAGAACTCTAGAGTGGCTATCCTTTGTCAAAATTTTATTAAAATGTCTGAGCTTGGATCATGATTGTTACTGTTTTCTCTACCTTTTTTCTCTGCTGGTATTATTGACAGTGATGACAGCAGTAATCAAATATTTTAGTTTCAGTGCATGCTGAATCGGTAGTTCTAACATAACTGTTTCTGTTTAGGTGATAGCTCTGAACAATTCCCAAGCAGCTGAAGGCGAACTCTATATTGATGATGGAAAAAGCTTTGACTTCATGCACGGGGCTTACATTCATCGCCGCTTTGTGTTCTCAAATGGGCAGCTTACATCTTTAAATATGGCATCCTCTTCCCTTGGCAGGTCTAGATTTTCTTCCGACTGCATTGTTGAGCGGATCATTCTTCTCGGATATACCCCTGGGCCAAAAAGCGCTCTTGTTGAACCCGGAAATCGTAAGGCTGAAATTGAACTTGGTCCACTTCGGCTAGGGGGGCGTGGTGGTGCTGCTGTAACCATCCGCAAGCCTGGTGTCAGGGTTGCTGAAGATTGGACAATAAAAATTTTGTAGTATACGGTAGTCCATGACTTTCTAATGTTAACAAAAGAAAGTTACCCTTGTAATTGTTAAGTATAGTGAAGAAAAGAGGAAATAACATTCGTACCTGCAATTTACATAATGCGAAGAACTGTAGTTTCGATCACTTTGATTCTTGGGCTGCCATTCCTGACAAATTTTACTTGACAGCACACCCAACCGTTTACAATGGATCTCCTCATGGGTCAGGTTGGGTTCATGTCGGATCTGGCATTATATTTCAACATTTTAATTAAGTTTAGTACAGTTTAGTTTGATTTTTTGGATTTCATTTTTTACTCAAATTCGTTTTTATATATAATAATAAAGCTCAAACTTATTTAAAACATTGGTATTTAAAATTGAAATATTTTTTAATTTTTTTTGTAAATTATTAATTTAAATAATTTTAATTGAATTTATAAGTCATTTAAGTTTAGGTTAATTTACTTTTGTTGAATGTAATTTAAAATCATATTATTATTTTATATAAAAAATAGATTTTATCATAAGATAAGTAATAAAATAAATGGGTCTCATTCATTATAAAAAATAAAACAAATAAGTTTTATTTTATTATGATAAAAAATATTTTTTAATTTTTGGATCGGGTCGGACTCAAATTTTAAATGGTGAAATCTAAGCTTGATTTTAATTTTTTTATCAGGTTTTATTTATTTATTCAAATTTATTTAACGAATTTAATATTTATATTCAAAATTTTTTAAATTTCGAATAAATTTTTGAATTTCAACAAACTGTCCAATCTATGAGCATATCTAATTTACAACCTATCCAATGATATATAGTAAATATTAAAAAATCATAATACTAAAGAATGAAAAGTATATCAAAATTATCTCAATATTCCAAAGATAAACGTAACCATATATATTTCTTATGAAAATATGAAGTTTACTGACATTAGGTTATCAGCAATCAAATTTAGAAAAAAAGAATAATTTATTCTTAAGATAAATAATATAGCCAAACATTGACACTAACCCCGTAACTTTGGCATGTAGTTTTTAAGCTCAAAATTGAAGTTCCTATTTGTTATTCATAATTGGATGTTCAGATACATTTTTTTTTTCTAATATGAGTCAATGACAATCCTAACATTTCAATGATTAACTTTAAGTAACGACAACGTCCATCAACCAAATTTTCGTAAGTTTTAACAAAACCATGGATAATTTGAACACCTAACAAACATAGTAAATCCTATCATTAATTACATTAAGGCAACAAACAAGCTTTCTAGAACTAATTGGATCCTAGAGCATTTAAAGAAGCTTACACTTTTAAGCAATCTTAATTACATTACCTTTAAAACCAATGTATTAGAAGGTGTTTGGTTCGACTTAGAATTTGAGAAAGAAAATAATTTTGAAAAAAAGTGACATTAAAAGGAAATGCATGATTTTTGAATTTTATTGACCTATAAAATGTAAAATTTTTGTGTTTGATTTAGAAGAATATAAAATTATCTAATAAATTATTTTACTTTATTATTCTTGATAATACATGAATAATTTGTCAACTTTATAATATGTTATACATAAATAACACATTTTTGTTAAAATTAAAGCATTTTGATAAATATAGGGTTTTCTTTTTTCATATTTGCAACGTACATAATTTTAAAATCTTGATTATTATCCTTATGTTGCTTGTCTTTATGCAAAAAAAAAAAAAATGCAAATAGACTTTCAGGGGATGGAGCTTTCCAAACAAATTTTGTAAGTAATAATATTAAATAATTATATTTCAGATTGTATATATAATATTATTATATAAAGATATTTTATATTTTATTTCAATTTTATTATAAGTAGTAACATCCACTATGTTTTTTATCTTCAAAATATGGTTTTTGTTAAAATTTTAGAATTTTTAAAATAAAGTTTCAATATTCACTAGGTTTATTATCTTAAAAATGCGGTTTTTATTAAAATTTCATAATTTCAAAAATATAATTTCAACATCGACTACGTTTTTAACTAGTAAAATTTCATAATTTTGAAATTAAAAGTTTAATATCCATTAATTTATTATTTTAAAAATGTGATTTTTGTTAAAATTTCAAAAATATAATTTTAACATTTATTAAGTTTTTTATTTTAAAAATACAGTACTTGTTGAAATTATAAATAACAAAATTTACATTTATTTTATAATTTAAGGAAACTAAAAAAGATAATCTAGTCTAAAAATATAAATAAATGAGAGTAAATGATACAAGATTTTTACCTTTTCTCCAAAATCTTAAAAAGCTTCAAGGAGGTAAGAGTTTTTTATTCATCTATTTTTTTTTAATTTACTATATTGAGAATCTTAAAATTTTTGATAATCACTTTCCGCGAGCCAAATTAAAAAAATCAAATTATAAAAAATAAAATTTCGAAATACTCTTTAATATATTATCCGATAAAACAAAATACATTAATTAAACAAAAGACATTAGGTACTAGTCTGAAATATTTTGCATATAGGACTTTTTTTTTTATACAAAAAATATCACAATTTAAGAATAAAAAAAAATTATAAGTATTAAAATTTAAATTTTAAAATTATTATTTATTATTTTTTAAAATAATTAAATAAATCAATTAAGTTCATCTCTAGATTCTCGTAAGAACATATTTTACATGTTAATACAAATGGTGGATTTTATCAATTTTAGTCTTTCGCATAGCATGTACATATATACGTGTTCAATATATGAAAACACTTGGAAGAGACAAGTTTTGAAATTGCACATGCACCGCTAGAAAAATGATTGGATGTGGGTCCATGCACGAGAAGAACCCATTTTTATTGTTATTGTTTAGATTGACCGAAACACAAGGAACCCTTGCATCCATCTTTCGATGTTGGAGAGAGAAAAGTAACAAATATTCTTCCAGCAAGAGTGTCGTATTGGTACTTGTTGATGAATATGGAGATATGGTTACATGCTTTGTAGGCATTACCTAAGATAAGAACGTGAAAAAAAAAATTTGATTGTGTAATTTATTGATGGAATATTATATTTTTAATTTTAATTATTAAAATTTAAATTGTAGACATCAATTTATCCAGAATAAATAAATAAATACGTAATATAGATATAAAATATGAAATACAATAAAAAAATGAACTAATATATAAAAATACCAAAAAAAAGAGACAGAACAAAACAAAAAAATCGAGGATGGCAGTGGTACCATCCTCGACACCACTGCCACCACCCATGCCACCAGACCCCCCTACACCCCGCTCTTCTGATCATTATACCCTACCTTTCACCCCTCTAATTACTCCTTCCGTTGATAAAACTATCGGATATGACTAAAACTAATAAAAGAGGCATGGGGCTCGTGCTTACACCTGTGCCGAGCCCTATGCCCTTCCCCCCAAACACACATGACTGTAGCTCTATAAATAGAACTTCTAACGAAGCCAAAGAAAACGAAAAAAAGGAAGGAGACACTGCAAAGAAAAATGAAAAAAAACACAAAAAAAAATATAGTCCTCCCGTAGGGAGGAACCCAGCACCTAGAGCTTCCTGCACAAAAAAAATGGGTCAGTTTCATAAAAAAAAAGAGTCAAAATATACAAAAAAAATAACCTCACCGAAACTTTGAAAGCAGATCTAGGGAAGTGGAGACTCCTTTAGGTGAAAAGGAGGTTAGATTTGCGTTCAGGGTCAAGAAGAGTTTGTGAGAGATTTTTGAATTTTTCGACACCGTCGACGACGGTCGGAGCTCGCCGTTGGCAAGGATTGCGACGGTCATCGCGACAGACGACCACCGACCCCAGGTCGGCTGAAGAAGAGAGAAAAAAAAAAAGGGAGATTTTTTTGCTAGAAAACAAATGAAATGAATGAAATTTTTTTTTTTTAACTTTTATATAAACTGTCCATAGCCAAAATGACGACGTTTCAATAAACGTCCAAAATGACGTCGTTTAGACCAAAGAGGATCGGCGACCTGACTCGGGGTCCGCGCACCTGATCCGACGACCCGCTTCTCCATTAGCCCCTGATCGGTCCATCTGAATCGGACCAGACCGCTCAGATCGAACCAGATCGCGCTTGAACCGTTGAACCGTGCCCAGACCGAGCTGAACCGCAGGATCGAACCGTCGAACCGAACTGCTCGTTGAGGTCCGGTTCAGGTAAAAAATTTTTTTTTGAATTTTTTATATATTATTTTATTAATATTTATGCATATTAAAATATTTATATTTGTTAGATTAAATGATGAAATTGTGATTAAAATTTTTTTATGTAATTATGTTAATTTTTAAAATAAATTTTAAAAACAATAATATGAAAATAAATTTAATAATAATACTAAACTAATAAAAAATGTAGGAAAAGGAAATTTTTATCCGACGATGAGATTCAAAGGTATTCCAAGTAGTGATGCTTACGAAATCTCTAGGTGAGAAGATTTTTTGTAAAATATTACCAGTGTATTGAAATATTTATAGAAAATCTTCAATATAATAAATTTTCATTTTTCTTCAAATTTTTAAATAAAAATTTCTTTTTTAAAATAATAAATAAAAATTGATTAATAAATTAAAAATAAGTAATAAAAATGAGAAGAAAAGAAATTTAATCCAATGATGGGATTCTAAAAGTATTCCGAGTAGAAATGCTTTAAGAAATCTCTAGGTGAGAAATTTTTTATAAAATATTATCAGCGTATTGGAATATTTATAGAAAATCTTCAATATAATTAAATTCTTTTTTCTTCGAAATTTCAATAAGAATATTAATAAAATAGACAAAGGAGAGTAAAATGTGTGCATAAACATGGTAACATTTTGCATTGTATGCATGATATTTTTTTTACGAAAAAATAAATTCGAGCCTCCGAAGATAAGATTCTAAGGTATTTCGAGAAGCGATGCCTAAGAAATCTCTAGGTGAGAAAAAGTTCTTCTAACGTTACCAACGTACTGAACATTTTAAGAATTATTTCAATAAAAAGGTTTTAATTTATTTTTCTCGAGAATAAATTTTTTTCTAATAAATAAAAAAAATATCAAGGAAATTATTTTTCGAACACCGAAAATTAGACTATTTTTATCAAAATCAAAGGATAACATGTTGTTAATTGGTACCGTTTTTAACGGGCGCTGTGGGAGTGCTATCCTTCCCCACGAGTAATTGACTCCTGAACCCAGACTGTTTCGCAGACCGTAAAATTATCTTTTTAATAAATTTTAATTAATTTTAAAACTTTATTAAAAAGATATGTTT